ATTTAAAAATGTTTTCATTGATCTCAGAGAGCAAGAGAGAGGGAGAGAGCGATAGAAACCTCAATGATGAGAGAATCATTGATCGGCTACTTCCTGCACATCCCACATTGGGGATCAGGCCGAAAACCGGGCATGTGCCCTGACTGGGAATTGAACCGTGACATCCTGGTTCATAGGTCAACACTCAACCACTGAGCAACACCAGCCAGGCAGGATATATATATATAGCCGAGAGAATCATTGGCTGCCTCCTGCACAACCCTGTCCTGAGGATCGAGCCCGCAACCTGGGCATATGCCCTTGACTGGGAATCAAACCCAGGACCTTTCAGTCTGCAGACCGATGCTCTATCCTCTGAGCCAAACCAGCTAGGGCCAGGCAGGATATTTTTAAAAATGGATTTTTAAAGAGAGAGAGAGAGAGAGAGAGAGAGATAGACAGAGAGAGAGAAATGATAAACATCAATTTTGTTCCACTTATTTACAAATGCATTGGTTGATTCTTGTACCAGTATGTGCCCTGACAGGGGCTCAACCCTGCAACCTTGGGGTATGGGAACGGTGCTCCAACCCACTGAGCTACCCAACAGGACAGAGATGTGGATTTTTTAAATGGTTCTCACTCGGAGCCTCTTATTCTGGGCCTGGGTGTTTTCCTGAGAGCTGATTAGCGAGAGGTGCTTAGTGCTCTGTGCGGACCTCGGAGAATCTCTCCCCCTTAGTGGCCCTCGGGATGGTCTCCCGGTTCCCAGGCTCTGCTGGGGGCTTTGGCCCCAGGTGTGGTCCAGGAAGGAGGTCTGTGCCAGCCCCCTGGGGGTGGGGCTCCAGGTGGGCGCGCTCCACCTGCCGCCCAGAAGTGGTTTCTGGAAAGTGAAGGTGCACAGCCCCCAGGGCCTCCTTTCACCCAGCCAGCCCTGGGGAGGAGCAGCCAACTGTGTCCCCTGGAGGTGCTTCCCCCGTCACCCTGTTCCCTGCAGGAGCTGCTCATGCTGATGTGAGGGGACAGTGACTGACGGGCAAGAGGTGAAGCTCTCTTTTCTTCCATGTTCTCTTCTCCTTTCTTCTCTGTGACCTTTCTTTCCCCTTCTCCTTGCTTTTCTTGCCAGTCCATGTGTTCTCCCCGGAGCCACCTGAGAACTCGGGCGCAGGTGCCCGTTCTGTGCAGGCGTGTCCCTGCTGCCATGCCGTGTGGCTTTGTCCCCAGGGAAGCCACCTCTCTCCACCCAGGTAGATGGGTGCCCAGGTGGGGATGGTGGTGGGGAGTGCACACCTCAAAACCAGCAGGTGTCGAGTTCTCTGTGACCTTTCTTTCCCCTTCTCCTTGCTTTTCTTGCCAGTCCATGCGTTCTCCCGGGAGCCACCTGAGGACTCGGGCACAGGTGCCCGCTCTGTGCAGGCGTGTCCCCGCGGTCATGCCGCGTGGCTGTGCCCCCAGGGAAGCCACCTCTCTCCACCCAGGTAGATGGGTTCCCAGGTGGGGATGGTGGTGGGCGGTGCACACCTCTCAAAACCAGCAGGTGGCGAGTGAGGCCCGGGCTCCGTGGGCGATGGTGCGGCGGTCAGCAGTGGTGGGGACGGTGGGGAAAGATGGCCAGATTCATCCTCAGCGGACGTGCTTTGAGGTCTGTGGGGACGGTGCTGAGACAGCCGGCCTTGTGCGCAGGTAGAAGTTAAAGCCCCCGGCAGGGCCTGCGGTGCAGGGGGGCCCCAGCTCCGGAGACAGGGGGAGGTGGCAGCAGCAGCAGGTAAGGAGTAAGACCATCGAGCACCTGGAGACCTGATCCAGGAGGAAGTGGCTGGTTTAGTTGTGCCCTGCCTGTGAGACCCCAGCCCCGGCCCCAGAGGCGGAGGGGCGGCTACTCACCTGACTTTGGTGCCCTTTGCCGCTCCCCTGGAGGGCTGGAGGGATACCGAGGAGAGGCTGTCCAGGGTAGGTGGCCCGGATGCAGACCCAGGCCTGCCCTGCCAGCTGGCCCCAGGGCCTTCCTCTCACAGTGGGTGCGGGGTCCCAGCTGGGCTCAGCCCCCGCCGGGGTGGGTGTGTCTGGGATGCCAGGGAGAGCTGCAGACGGCAGTCTCGGGTCAGTGCACCAGATGCTAACAGCTGCCCACTCCGGGAGGGGAGGCCGGTGTTAGGTGTTCCTCCGTGTTTGCCGTGCGTCGAGACTTAAAACGTAAAGACAGAGGACAGTCCTCCTAATTGCCCGTGAATTTATTGACCGCTTGCCTCCTCCCCCGGGAGCTTCACCAGGCAGGTGGATTAGCTGCAGGGAGGGCACTCCAGGTGGCCCGGTCCTGGTTCAGCTGCTGGCACTCACGCCCCATGCTGGGAGGCTGCCGATCTGATTGGCCTCAGCAGCTGTCCATCTAGGGGGGCAGGATGGCTTTCAGCAGGCCTGGGAGCCTGGGTCAGAGCAGGAACATTCTAATTCTGACCCAGGGGTTTCCAGAAAACGGCCGGGCTGTTTTCCAAAGGGGCTGCCCGTTTTGCATCCACCAGCGCTGGTGGGACCCTGCTTTCCCCACACCCTCGCCAGCCCTCCTCACAGTCCTTTCGGTTGTAGCCATGCTGGTGGGTGTGACATGGCCTTTGTTTTTTCTTACATAGATTTTACTTTTTTTTTTATGTTATCCTCCCCTGAGGATGTTTTCTATGGATTTTATTTTTAAAAATTTTGAAGGATTTTAAGAGAGAGAGATCAATGGACGTCACTCCAGCCAGCGTAGCCACCTGGCCAGGGCTTGCTGTGGTTTTGGTCTGCATGTCTCTGATGGCGACAGGAGGCCGTATTCCAGATATAAATACTGTTAAGCACCCACGGACTGAGGTGGCATTTTAGCTCATTAGAGTGGCACAGGGAGCTTTTCAAGCCGCTGGACGGCCGTTCACTAATTCCCGCTTAGGGCTGGAGGAGGGACAGGCCGGCTCAGGACAGCCACCGTGGCTACTGCACAACGAGAAACAAGTTGTGTGTTTCAGGGGCATGTAGGATCTCATATTTGTCATTAGGCTGAACCAGTCAAAACAAGCAAATCCTTAGTTAAATGCCGTTCTGACAAGGCCATAGGGAGCTGCGGGCGCGCTCAGTCCGCCTCTCCCAGCAGCGGCCGGGCTCCTGAGCAAAAGCCCACGAGCGCCTTCGCACGGAGTCGCCTACAAACACTAGGTTTATATTGAATCGGCTGCCATTGGGGATCCCTTCTCGTCCTGTGCAAAGCCCTTGAGAGATCGTGCACATCCTCGTAAGGGTGGCCGGTCACATCATTTTATTCGCCATGATGCCTTGGGTGGGGTGCGGGGCTGAGTGGCCGGGAGGCCCTGGGGGAATCTTACAGCCCGTTCACTAATTCCCATGGATATTTTTTGAGAAATGGGTCCAAAGCTGTTTGTTTGGGTGCCGTCTTCAATATTCACAATCACCTGTGCCAAGCCTTTGCCTAGAGAGCTTGCTGCTTTCAGAAGCCGGGTCCAGCCCTGGCCGGGTGGGTCGGCTGGTTGGAACGTAGTCCCATACACCAAAAGGCTGTGGGTTCGATTCTCAGTCAGGGCACATACCTCGGTTTCGGGTTTGATCTATATGGGAGGCAACCAGTCGATGCCTCTCTCTCCGAAATTGGACAGGCTCCAGCAGCTTGCTCCGTGTCTGCTAAATAGAATGTGAATATTCTGGAGTGCTTGCAGATTACAGTAAGCTAAGGTTATACCGCGGTTGTTGTGTTTTGGGTTTTTTTTTTGTTTATTTGTTTATAGGGTTTTTTTGGTTTGTTTTTCCAAAATCATTATAACAGACATTCCCAGGTGTGCCCATCCCAGCCTGTCCCTCTGCCCCCGGCGACATCAGACGTGAAGGAAGAAGCAGCCACAGCACAGGCCTTTCTGTCCCAAAGGCAGACCCTGCAGGGATGTGGCGGGCCACACCCAGTCCTGCACTCCCGCCCCCGCCTGTCCTCCCGCCCTGGGCCTCTCCCTGGCTGGGAAGGGCTCCGCCGGGCAGATGGCTCAACCTGACGCCTGTTAGGAGCAGGCAGCCTCCTGCCCCCTCCGTTCCCACTCGGGGCCACTCGCCTGGTACACCCCCAGCCTCTTCCTGGTCTTGCCCTGGCCCACCCCCGAGGCCCACGCCCTGTTGAACGAACAAATGAATGACAGTCCCGTGCCTTTCCTGGACTTGCTCAAAGCTTCGTTTGGTCTGGTCGGCTGAAGGTCAGGCTGATTTGACTTTTGTAACTGGGCATCTTTGTAACCGCCCCACCTCTGCACGTAATAGGCTTAAATGGGTTAAAAAACGGGGGAAATTGCACGTAATGAGAAAAGATACCATGCAATTTTAGGTTCTTATTATGGTGTGGGATGGTTTTTTTCCTCTCTTATAGCTGCCTTTAAAATAAAAGAGAGTCATTGATCAGCTGCCTCCTGTATGCCCCCCCCCCCACTGGGGATCGAGTCCACAACCCAGGCATGTGCCCTTGACTGGAATCGAACCCAGGACCCTTCAGTCCACAGGCCAACGCCCTGTCCACTGAGCCAAACCAGCTGGGTCTCTTAGCTGCCTTTTAATCCACCTTATCCACATGCTGCTCTGTGCAGACCATTCAGGAGATGGTGGGCTCGCTCACCCTCAGAAGGCGGCAGAGGGGCCGGCAGGTGGGGGAGGCTGTGAGGGCAGTAGCAGCTTCTAGGGGCCTCGTGTCCCTGGAAGATGGGAGCCTGGATGATGGGAGACAAAGGACATACTGTAGACTCTGAAAAAGCTCAAATGAAATGTGCTTTTGTTGGCGGGGGCGGGGTGAGTGGGACAGGGGAGCCTGCCCAGGGTCTGTGCCCGGGTCAGGTAAGTGCTCCTGGAATGTTCAACCCCTTGGGGCTTGATTTCAGTCCCAGCCTCCGAGGAGGAAGGCCAGCTCCGTCCTAGGCTTCCGGGTCTGGCTCTCATGGTGCCTAAAATCGTTTCTCAAGGCACCAAGCACTGGCACACCGGAGGCCAAGGTGTCGGTCCGCCGCCCTACCTAAAGATAAGGGTTCAGGGCCACAGTGACTCATTTGTGGCCTCCAGGTGGCTGGAGGGCAGGGACTGGATTTGCTTCTGCTGCACAGCCACCACCTTCCTGTGTCAACTGGGTGGGGCCCGGGCTGCTGGCCAGGAGGGGGAGCTGGTGGGAGGGCCAGGGCCAAGGGTCAGAGGGAAGGGTTTCCGAGGGTAAGGACAAATTACACTTCTATATAATCCTCTCCGTCTCTTCCCAGGTGACCCTAAAGATGGCAGAGGCTCACCAGGCTGTGGCCTTCCAGTTCACGGTCACTCCCGACGGCATCGACCTGCGGCTGAGTCATGAGGCCCTTAAGCAGATCTATCTGTCCGGACTTCATTCCTGGAAGAAGAAGTTCATTAGATTCAAGGTTTGCAGACACTTGTTTAAATGTGGGCCGTCTCCCCTGGAACGCAGAACCGTTCTCGGGGTGCTTTGGCAGTGTCCACATTTCTGAGTGGTAATTGGCACATAATTCGTATCTTCGTGGCACCTAAGGCTCATGCGACACGGTGACATATATTGACTCGCTGAATTCTTCAATGCTGGAGGCAGGTGGGGCCCCTGTCAGGCAGGCGAGGAGGTCGGGGCTCAGAGCGGGTGAGTGCCCACTTGGTGGAGCAGAGTGAGGACAAGCACCCGTGCCTCCTGCTCACCTTCTGGAGTCATGGTGTTTCCGGCGAAGCTGCAGGGAGTCTGTGCAACAGGTGTCTCGCTGATAAAATAGTCAAACATTGACGGATATGCACGCACATTCAAGGGCAGCTGCCTTCGCACGTTCTCAGTTCTGTTTCCTCGAAAGAGGACAGTTAATCCCTATTTGAAACACGTGTCTCGTTTTTAATTTAGTTTATTTTAAAAATCACAGAACGAGGAGTGGAGGTGGGGGAGGGCGTGGAGGAGGTGGAGGAGGGTAAATGATGATGGAGGAAAAATAAGAGAGGAAAACATAAAGTGAAAATTACAGAAGGAATAAATAATGCTATGTTTAAAAAATTCAAGCAAATGAAAGGGCATCAAGTGAAAAGTGAATGTCCCCCCCTCTCCTTCCCCCTCAGAGTAGATTGCACAGTTGGTGTTTTTTATTTGTTGTTAGTCCTCACCCGAGGATATTTTCCCATTGATTTTTTTTTTAGAGAGAGAGAGAGAGGGGAAGGGACGGGGAGAGACAGAGAGAGAAACATCGATGTGAGAGAGACACATAGATTGGTTGCCTCCCACATGTACCCCTGACCAGGGCCAGGGATTGACCCTGCAACCCAGGTATGCGCCCTTGACCGGAATTGAACCTGGGACCCTTTAGTCCGTGGGCTGATACTCCAACCACTGAGCCAAACCGGCGAGGGCCAGTTGGTGTCTTTATCCTCATTTTCCTTTTTAGAGGGTGGCAAAGGCCCGGGAGCTAGAGTAGGTGAGAGCAGTGACATAGGAGGCGGACCTGGCTGGACAGGTTGCCTGGGCTTAGCTTGTGGGTTCTGGGGCCCAGGTACCAGAGGGATCACACACATCCTGTCCCCCCGTGGGCACCGGAAGTGGAGGAGGACGCCGAGAGCTCCTCATCACTTACAAATAGAAAATACGAAGTGGGGGGCAGAGGGGTGGCCGTCATTTCAACCCAGTGGAAATACTGTTCCTGATTTTAAAGACCTTGTCGTGCAGCTGAGAAAGCGAGAACAATAGGTACAAAAACAAATGACCTAAACAGTGCGTGGCCGCCGGTAGCGAAGGGTTTATTAGAAGAGCACGTCATCTCCCAGCGGAGGAGGGCGGGGTGGGCAGGGCTCGCAGCAGCTGCAGGCGGAGGGTGGGGTGAGCGGGAGACACTTCACCTAGAACCCCCTTCCCTCCACGTTCAATGGGCTTAATTCCACCCCCCACCCCTTTAAAAATATCTCTTGCCTCCCGAGGATGGGAAAGCCAACGGAAATAGCTTGTAGGGATGCAAGCATCTTCTAAAAAAATGCAGATAAAGCGTTGAGAGTTTTTAATCCATCGTCGTGGTCAAATCAATCTCTTATTTGTGGCCTCAGGGAGGATTTTTTTACTTGGAATTTGGAAACATACACAGAAGTCAAGAGAAGAAGGAGCCACACTGCTCACCTCCCAGTGTCCACTGCTAACATTTTGCCAGTTTTGATTCATTTTCCTTCACCCCCCTTCCTGCTACTCTTTGGGTTTTTTTGAGGGGGGGTAGGGGAGGGTTTGTCTGAAGTATCTTACAGCATGTTCTCTACATGGAGTGAGGTCTCCTGCAAACACTTCAGGATGCCATGGCATCTCGATTTGGGGCAGGGGTAGGGGAGTGAGGGGTGGGGGAGTGAGGAGTGGATTTGGAGAGGGCAGTCCCGAGCATCTGGGGTGTAGCAGGTTGGGGAGGGGCCTTCATGGTTGGCTCAGCGACATCCTTAATCCACGGGTGTCATTCATCAGTCTGGGTGGGGCTCGGGAATCTGAATGCTAAACTCAGGTGATTCTAATGTCCTGGGGTCCCTTGGGGGTCACTTGGGCTCAGAAGTCGAGGAAGGGATGGCTGGAGGCTCCTGCAGCTGCAGCTGGAGGCTCTGGGGGAGATGGTTGGTGGCGACAGCGTGGTCGCCTGCTGCAGACACCCCCTCCCACTGCCTGACGTTGCTTGCGGCGCCTGTCTTTTTAGAATGGCATCATCACCGGCGTGTACCCGGCGAGTCCCTCCAGTTGGCTCATTGTCGTGGTGGGCGTGATGTCCACCATGTACGCCAAGATCGACCCCTCGCTGGGGATCATTGCGAAGATCAACCGGACCCTGGACACGACGTGAGTGATCCTCCGTGTTCTCGGGCCGGCTCTCCTCCTGTGTGTCTCCGGCTAAGGCTCCCACTGTCCCTGAGCAGTTCCGGTCCGTCACTAGGAAATAACAGGCCCCACGCCCTCGGGCCACGAGCGGGCTTTGTTTTTCCGGCCAGGACTTGCTGTGGAATTGGGTCCTTTAGGGGCGCGAAGCAGCTCGCGGGTGCGTGTGCCCGCCTGGCTCCCGGGCTGCTGTTGGGGCCTGGCCTGAGCATAAGCCAGCACCTTGCTGGTTGTTCGGATTTAAATTCTGTTCCTTCAGAAGCCCTTGGACTCAGCTCCAGCTGAGTGGCCCGCAGCCTCACGTGCCTCGGGAACGCTGGCCCTGCCTTTATAAGCATCTGCAAGGCCCTATGAGAGCTCCCTGCCCTGTCAGTGGAAGGGCGCCTGCCCTGGACGCCTGCCAAGTGCCCGGGCTGCCTGCGGGCAGGGACCGCGCCACCCCGGCCCCGGCCTCTCTCCTTTCATCCTTCGGTTCCCACCCGCAGGCTGTCATGCCAGTCTTACCTGCTCCTCTCACTGGCGTGGGTTTGCCACCGACGCTTAATTTGCTCTCCCCTGTGGCTGGCTCTTAACGCTGGGTTATACTTGGAAGTGCTGGCTGTTTAGAGCCCTTCAGTCTGGATCTTTACAAGACTTGTTTCTTTGTCCCTCTCAACCCATGGTGGTAGCTGGGCCGCCCCTGTCCCACGTTTAGAAAGCGCAGGCTGGGAGCCGTGGGAACTGTCTTCGTGGGGCAGGCGCGGTGTTCGCGTGGAGCACGTCTCTTACAGGAGCTTGTCTGCTCATGCTTTTTGTGGCGGTGCCTTCGGTTTATGTGGACGCAGTCCCGGGCCTGCCGTTTCTTTGCTAATGTGAAACGCTGTGTGGATTTTGTGCATCGAGGAAGTGTGTGTGTCTGCTTCCTTCGGTGATGTAGCGCGTAGACATCAAAAGTGCAGGTCGTCTCAGAGGCGGGTCCTCACGTCCCCGCGTCCAGGTTTGCTTGGGGACCGGCTGTCGGAAAAGAACGCACAGGTTTTCCATGGAGGCGACAGTTCAGCCTGAACTCAAGGTTTGACAGGCTCAGAAAGATGCAAGTTTTGTAGCAAAGGCATTTGCGGGGTTTGGTGCCACTGAAGCATTTCAGAGTGTCCGGTTGATGGTTTCCAAATATCGGAGACTCCTTCCGGTCGCACGTTGGTTTGTTTTATAAACCTTGGTGATAAAAACACCGAGCTTTTACTTTGTAAACGTTCTGCAGTTCCCCCAAACCGCGGGAGCTAAAAGCAAAGCCACAGAGACGCGTGCGTGGCTGCACATCGCCTCGTGTCCGGGGTCGCTTCTCAGCCTCCTTTGCCGGCTCACGTGCCCCCGGCTTGTCGCGTCTTGTCCCGGCAGGGGCAGCATGTCCAGCCAGACGAAGCACGTGGTCAGCGGCGTGCTGTTCGGCACGGGCCTGTGGGTGGCCCTGATCTTCACCATGCGGTACTCCCTGAAGGTGCTGCTGTCCTACCACGGCTGGATGTTCGCCGAGCACGGCAAGATGAGCCGCGCCACCAAAGTCTGGATAGTAAGTGGACGCTCCCTGGGCCCAGAGCTGCTGTGGGTTTTTCTAGCCGCGTTACCCAGACGTGATTGACAGGCGAAAGGCGAGGCTGTGGGGCCTGGGCAGCCGCTGTGTTTGGAGAGAAGTGGACGCCCGGGCGGCCGTCACCGCTGTCGGGGACACAAACTTAACATCCCCCCAACGTCTCCTCGGGTCCCCCCTTTCTCCTGTAGTCTTAGGCCCTGTGTTGCGCAGTAAGTCTCCGGAACTTATTTATTTCACGGAGCTGAAACTTTGTACCCTTTACCCGTCGCAACTTCGCTCCCCACCCCGGGTAGGCCCATCCGTGCTGGTCTGTCGCTTGGACAGTGAGGTCCCGGCATTTGTCCTTCGGTGCTTGGCTCATCTCACGGAGCTTTTACTTTTTCTTTTAAGAATATTTTTATTGATTTCAGAGAGGAAGGGAGAGGGGGGGAGAGAGAGAGAGGATACATGTTGAGAGAGAATCATCGATTGGCTGCCTCCTGCACGGCCCCCACTGGGGTGGGAGACCCCAACCTGAGTATGTGCCCTTGACTGGAATTGAACCCGGAACCCTTCAGTCCACAGGCCAACGCTCTATCCACTGAGCCAAACTGGCCAGGGCAGCTTTTACTTTTTAAAGAAAGAGCCTCACAGGGCCTTCTCTCCCTTTGACCCCTGGTGTCCTAGGAGTCGCTCTAATTGCCGGGGAGGGTGGATTCACTGTGACTCATAAGTTTGGGACGAAGGCCATTTTCTAAATGATGTGAATTCTGAGCATTTTATGTTTGTCCGCTGGGTGGGTCCTCCAGGTCGTCCATGAAATAGAAGTGTCACTTTTTTGTAGCTTTTCTCACTTGAGGTCACGGTTAAGTGGCTTCCCCAGCGGACCAGGCCTCCCTGACTCCCGCTGAGCTTCTAGTAATTTCCACCTGCTCTCTCACCCTTGGCCCGCGAGTGGGGCGTGTGCCGTGTGCGTGGCCGTCTGTGCCGCTGTCAGCGCTGCTGGCTGTCTGCCGGCTGCTGGCCGCCAACCCCGGGGCTGCTAGTGAGAGAGGCTTGTCGCCACCTCCTGTGTGAGCCCACTGCACCCCCCACCCCACCCTCCACCCACCACTCTTTTCCAAACCGACTTCTGCTGCTGCTTCATTAGGTTTTCTAATTCTCGGAGAAGCCGAATCTAACACCCAGAGGGGACGCCGAGATGGGTTCCCACACTTTACAGAATAAGTTCCATGAGGCGCCCTGGATGGCTGGTGCCCAGTTGGGTCAAGAATCATGCCCCTCACCCCCTTTTCCCCCGTGAGCCCTGGGCATTCCTTTGAGGTCTGGTCGGCGTGACATGACCAGTTGTTGCACCAGGTTTAGATCATTGCAGCCTAAACAAGGCCGATGGCAGGCAAGTGTGCTGTCCACTGGCCTTGACTGTGACCGAAAGGGCCACACTGCTCCTGCTGGGCGCGGCGTGAGGCCCAGGCACCTCGGTCGGCCCTTCTCGCTGCCGACAGAGCCTTGAGCCGATTCTGAGACCAGGACTAGGAGGGTGGTTTCCCCACGGGCAGAGGCGGTCCGACTGCACCACCAGGGGCCCGAGGGCGGACACCGCCGGACGGCGTGGGCCATTTCACGGCACCCGGCAGACCTGGGCCTTCGTTCAATCTGGTCATTTGGGGTCACCTGTGTCTTTGCGGAGCCTGCGAGGGTTGGGGCAGAAAATGGAGTTGGGGAAAATAAACCACAGAAAACTGTAAGTTGTAGACCCTTGAGAACTGGTGTCAGGTTGTCTCAACTTTTAAAGTGAACTTTTTTTTTAAGGGGATGGTCAAGCTCTTCTCAGGCCGGAAACCCATGCTGTACAGCTTCCAGACGTCCCTGCCGCGCCTGCCCGTGCCCGCCGTGAGGGACACCGTGAGCAGGGTGGGTGTCGCTTCGGGGTCACAGAAAATCCGCTCGGAAATGCCCGTCGTCGAGGGATTGAGGTTTATGACTTAAAGACGATATTCGTCATTTGGGTGTGTTAGCGCCCAGCAGTGGCTGAGGCTGTGGCAGGAAATATTTTTTCCAATCAGCACATCTTAGGTGTTTTTATCCGCTCCCCCCCATCCCCTCCGCTTAGATGTTTTTTAATAAAAGGCATCATATATGGTAGTGAAACCACTTGGCAAATTTTTAAAACAACTTTGTTGACATATAATTCACATACCATATAACTCACTCCAAATGTCCACTTCAGTTCTATCCACTGAGCCAAACCGGTTAGGGCAACTTGGCAAATTTTTAAAACAACTTTGTTGAGATATAATTCAACATACCATATAACTCACTCCAAGTGTTTCAGAGATTTTGTTAGATTCCATTACTAACTGTTTTGGTTTTTAAATCCTCACCCGAGGACACATTTTTATTTTAGACAGAATGTGGGGGGGGAGGGGGGGAGAGAGAGAGAGTGTGTGTGATGTGAGAGAGAAACATTGATCTGTTGTCTCCCGTACGCTCCTGGACTGGAGACTGAACCCGCAACCTATGTGTGTGTCCTGACTGGGAATCAAACCCAAGACCTTTTGGGGTATGGATGGCACTCCAACCAACTGAGCCGCCCAGCGGGGCATTACTAATTATTTTAAGTTGTGCCCTGTCATTGTTCCGGCTCCTCCTTCTGTCCTGGCGTCCGGGGCACTGGGCAGCGCTGCCCGTGCTTGGCGCCCCCGTGCTATCACGCTGCAGCCCAGTGAGAACGGAGCTCCTGTCAGGGCCAGGGACTGCGGAAAAGACCCCCCTGAAATGTCCTCGTTAACATTTTTAAAACATCGATCTGGTCCGTCTGGAAGTCACGTTGGTGATTTTCTGGTGGCGCAGGATCTGGGGAGCTTGCAGGCCAACAGAGGACGAAAGGAGTCATTGTTTAATTATCAGGAACCCAAGTCATCGTTTAGCGTTGGAGTTAGCCATCCGGCGAGAGGACCGGCAACTCGGGGGAAGACTTCGCCACCTTTTCAACATGTTTGCCTTTTCTCGGAGGAAGCTGTGTGCTAACCGGGCTTGTGTTTTCCTCGTTAACCCCAGTATCTGGACTCGGTGAAGCCCCTCATGAAGGAAGCCGACTTTAAGCGGATGACGGCTCTCGCCGAAGATTTTGCCGTCAGCCTCGGGCCAAAGTTGCAGTGGTATCTGAAGTTAAAATCCTGGTGGGCTACCAACTACGTAAGTGTGTGCCCACGCTTTTTCTTGATGGAATTCTAATCAAGAAAGTAGATTCCTTGTGTGAGAAATACTAGTCAGTTCCGGGAACATCTGGGCATCCCCATGCGTGGTGGCCAGAGGGGACATTTGGCGGGTGGGGGTGGGGGCCTAGGTTTTGAGGAACAGCTGATGTGGAAGAGAGGTGTTGGCTGTGACCCAGACACAACCAGCGCCGGGGCTAGCAGTGGGCGTGGTGCAGGGAATGAGAGACAGGGCATATTCCCCTTTGGAGCAGGTGCTGGGGGCACAGGTGTGTTGAATTCAGTTAGACTCTTCCCTGCACACCAGTCTGCGTGAATAGCACTTCAACACGACGTACAGAAAAGTGGTCTCTTGGTCCAGGAGGCTGTGAATGGTCCCGAAGCCCGTAGGTGTGGTCAGGAAGAGGTTGCTGCTTGGGGGTGAGGGTGGGGGGGGGACATTGGCACGTCCTGCGGGGAGTGAGAACCGCACTCGAGGCTCCGAAAGGGACGGACCAGAACTGAGAGGTGGCTGCTCCGGAGAGCCCAGAAGCCGGGGGAGGAGACGGGTCTTCGTCGCCGTTGGGATCGTTTTCATTGCTGAGAAATGCCAGCTGGCACACACTGACCACCCTTTCCCACTGGGCCGTGTGCTTCAGCCACCTGTAACGTGAAGGTGACCTGCCTTCTGGCCACGTCATGACCTTAAAAAAACCCACTTTCCATCCCCCCGTCTTCTTGCACGAAACACCCCCAGCCCCGGGGGCCACTGCCCCTCTGGTTGAGCTTGTCTGTTGGCACCAACAGGTGAGCGACTGGTGGGAGGAGTACATCTACCTGCGCGGACGGGGGCCGCTGATGGTGAACAGCAACTACTACGCCATGGTGAGTCCTCCAGGTGGCGGTGAGTCCTCCGGGCGGCGGTGGCTGCCGCCTGCGGCTGTGCTGGGGAGGCTCGAGGGACTGACCGGGCCCCTCCTGTTCTGCCACCTCTGCCCACGGCTTCACACCCACCAGGGCACCCAGGACCCGCTTCCCACACCAGAGAACCAGGTGCCCTCAGGGTCCCTCAAGGCGCCTGCAGAGAAACGTGGGTCGCAGGAATGCCCTTGTGCAGCCCAGCAAAGCGCGTGCCTGCCCGTTTCCTCGGGCGCTGCATGGACAGCAGGGCCAGCGAGGCGTGAAGGGCTCAGGCGGCAGGGGGCGCCCCCGGCCTGCCCGCTGAGCTTGGTCCTGCTCCCCGAGACACTGGAGGCACTGGCCTGTCACGTGTCAGGGTCACGTGTCTGGTCTGGTGAGGCACATGCCGCATGCCTTTGTTCAGTTAGAAGCCCCTCAGTTGGGGGTCCAGGGCATCGTGTAATAAGTGGCAAATCCAATTTTTTCTCTTTCGCGTTCTGTTCTTTACCTCCTTTTATTTTCTCCCCTATTTCTCTTTATCATTTGTTCTTTCTACTTTTTTTCTTAAAATATATTCTTATTGATTTCAGAGAGGATGGTAGAGGGATAGAGAGAGAAACATCAATGAGGAGAGAGAATCATTGGCTGGCTGCCTCCTGCAGCCCGCAACCCCCTTGGCTGGAATCGAACCTGGGACCCTTCCGTCCACAGACTGACACTCTATCCACGGAGCCAAACCAGCTAGGGATCGTTCCTTCTACTTTTTTCCTTGTTAGATTCTCTTCTTTTTCCTTTAACTTTCCTCCCATCAGAACACTCTCAGACTGACAGAAGCTGTCGGCCTGCTCCTGGGACCCTGAGAGCACGCGGCCCTTCCTTCCGAAGTGTCGGGGTCACGCTCTCTCAAGTGTAGTCGGACCCCAGTCCTCTCTTCCCGTCACGGCAAATGGCCCTTAGAAACGGGTCTCAAGACTTAGAAGCTGCGGGCGCGGTGCTGCTTGATGGGGAAGGTTCCTTTAACCCGTTACTCCCGACCCGAGGACCGCCTGTCCGCTTGCTCTGCAAGCTTATTCCTTCCGATGCATTAGATGAGGGCATTTGGGACAAAGCACTGTTACCTCCTTTCAATTCGAATGACAGCCATTTAAAATCTAATTTTAAAATAGACTCTTACCTTTCCCAGCCCAAGGATTATTTGGGGGCTTGTGTTCTTATAAAACATGAAGAAGCCCTGGCTGGGTGGCTCAGTTGGTTGGAGTGTTGCCCGTACATCAAAAGGTTGCAGGTTCAATACCCGGTCGGGGCACGCTTGGGAGGCAACCGATTGACGTTTCTCTCTCACATCGACGTTTCTCTGCTCGCTCTCTCTCTCTCTCTCTCTCTGTCTGTCTCTCTAAAAATCAATGAAAACCTTCTCAGGTGAGGATTAAAAATAAATAATAATAAAGTTGGCCAAGTGTAGGGAAGGAGATGAGTTTATTTTCTAGCAGAGCAGGCGTGATTTCCCTCACGGGGGGGTGACTGCAGCGTCGACGGCTCCGCCGTGTGCCCGCCTCCGCCGGTCTGCCCCTGCGAGCACGCTCCCTGCTGACACGCGTTCCATTTCAGGATTTTCTGTACGTGTTGCCCACGCACATCCAGGCCGCCAGGGCGGGCAACACCATCCACGCGATCCTGCTGTACAGGCGCCAGCTGGACCGGGAGGAGCTCAAACCGGTGAGCCAACAAACCGCTTTTTCTGAAAACACTCTCACAGCTCTGCTGAGGAATGCTCGACTTATTGCACAGTGTGCAAGTTCTGACACACGCGTGCACATCCTGCACACCCCACAGCCATGGCGGCGAGCACAGCCAGCCCTCTAGAGTTCCCTGGGCGCCCTGTGACCTGCCTCCTGCCCCCTGTCCCTTCCTGCGCCCCCTCCCCACCCATCACCCGCCAGGTCACTCCTGGTCCGCCTTCCATCACTCTAGGCCGGCGGTCACCACCCGGTGGTCCGTGAGGTCCGGAAGGTTGGCGACCGCTGCTCTCGGCTGCTTTGGGTTTCCCAGAGCTTTATGTGAGCGGGAGTATACAGGGTGCACTTCTGGGGTGTGGCTATGTCTGATGTACTTCTATAATTTGCCCCTTGAAGAAACTTTTGTTCACTTTTTTTTAATGCAAAGGAAATATTTTATTTATTTAAATTTTATTTTATTTCTTCTATCACCATGTATCCCCTCTCTGCCTTCTTCCACCTCCACCCCTCCCTTTCCACGCCCGAAATCACCACACTCTCACCGTGAGTCTCTCTCTCTTTTTTTTTCTTTTTTTGCTCAATCCTGCCTTCCCCCAGCCCCCCTCCCTCTTGTTTGCTCTGGAAGGGAAATAATTTAGCTGGTGAACCCTCAGGAATAAGACATGCCTTTCGTGAATGCCCTTTGGTTGAAGTGTCGGTTTGTACACACAGGACGGGTCAGTGTGTATTTCAGGGCTGGTGGCGTGGGAAGCCGTGCCCTGGCGAGGCCCTGCAAGTCCCCAGGGAAGCCGGGTGCCCTGGGGAACGGCTGATCCTTACGGAGTTAGGGAAAGATCAAGCCAGACCAGGCCCCACGCGCAGAGCACAAAGCCGGCATCGCACGCGTGCTGCTCATTTGCTCCTTTGTCCTCCGCTCACTTTCCCGTTTGGCACGTGTTTCTGTTGCAGATTCTCCTCATGGGCTCCACAGTCCCGCTCTGCTCCGCGCAGTGGGAGCGGATGTTCAACACGTCCAGGATCCCGGGAGAGGAGACGGGTGAGTGCGCCGCCACGGTCTTCTCGCCAGCGTCCCAGACCTTTTACCTCCCGGTGAAATTTATTCCTCAGTGTTTTATTCTTTTTGATGCAGTTATAAATGGAATTTTTTTTCTTTTTTAAATATATTTTTTAATTGATTTCAGAGAGAGAAGGAGAGGGACAGGGAGAGGGAGAGAGAGAGAGAAGCATCAGTGAAAGAGAATCATTGATCGGCTGCCTCCAGCACATCCCCTACTGGGGATGGAGCCCACAACCTGGGCATGTGCCCTTGGCCAGAATTGAACTCAGGACCCTTCAGTCCGCAGGCCGACTCTCTATCCACTGAGCCAGACTGGCTAGGGCAGGATTTTTTTCTGAATTTCTTTTTCTGGTAGTTCATTATTAGTATACTATAGGGTGTCCCAAATTCACGCAAGATTTGAAATTGAATTGAATTGCAAATCTTGCGTGAATTTTGGGACACCCTTTAGAAGCCCAGCGCACAAAATCACGCGGCCACGCCCACCTGCACATGCCCCGCCCACCTGCGCAGGTCTTTGGTCGTTACGGCCACAGGCCTTTTATAATATAGATAGAAATGCAGCTGATTTTTGTATCCTGCAATTTTATACTGAATTTTTTTATAAATATTTTATTGATTTTTTACAGAGAAGAAGGGAGAGGGACAGAGAGTTAGAAACATGGATGAGAGAGAAACATCGATCAGCTGCCTCCTGCACGCCCCCTACTGGGGATGTGCCCGCAACCCAGTACATGCCCTTGACCGGAATCGAACCTGGGACCCTTGAGTCCGCAGGCCGACACTCTATCCACTGAGCCAAACCGGTTCGGCTATACTGAAATTTTTAAATAATATTTTTAGAAGGGAGAAAAAGAGAGCGAAACATCATTTTTTGTTTTTCCACTTATTTATGCATTCATTCATGGGTTGATTCGTGTATGTGCCCTGACCAAGGATTGACCCTGCAACCTTGGTGTAGTGGGACGGCGCTCTAACCCACTAAGCCACCCGGCCAGGGCTCTACTGAATGTGTCAGTTCTGACAGTTTCTTGGTGCAATCGGCAGGGATTTCTACATACAGTATCAAGTCATCTGTAAATAGTGACAGTTTTCTTTCTTCCTTTCCAAGTTAGACAAGCCCACAGCGGACATACTGAGCTGAGAGCGCTCTCTCTCAGACCAGGCACTGGGTCCTCTCTCAATTCCTGCACGTCCGTGTGAGGGACCCTACAGGCTCCGGGAGGGTTCAGTCAGTGGCCCGAGCTGATGCGTCTCACGATGGCCGAGCGGAGCCTCGAGTCAGGCCTGTCTGACTCCAGAGCCCTCGGCTCTGACCCTGTACTTAACCCCGCTCCACCCCCCCCCAGACAGGAGGAGCGGACGGGGGGCCGCAGGGAGCCGGCGGGTGCGGCCTCGGCGCCGTCCCCCCTCCTCTAACCTGTGGGGGTTTTGTCTCGCCCGCACCCCGCAGACACCATCCAGCACGTCAGGGACAGCCGGCACATTGTCGTGTTCCACAAGGGCCGCTACTTCAAGGTCTGGCTGTACCATGACGGCCGGCTGCTGCGGCCCCGCGAGCTCGAGCAGCAGATACAGCGGATCCTGGATGACCCGTCGGAGCCTCAGGCCGGGGAGGCCAAGCTGGCGGCCCTCACAGCGGGAGACAGGTGTGTGCCCG